GTCACGCGATTGCATCTGGGTCGCAACATTACTGAATGTATCCTGTTGTATAACGCCGGCTGGCAGGGTCATCGTAAACACGTGGCTGAGACGATGTGTACCAGATAATCGAAGCGGGGTCTGGCTGCACGCATGTAGCAGGGACGCTAGCGGGACGAGCACTGGATAGTGACGTGAGATTTTAAACACAGGACTTGGAACAGAGACGTCAGTAAAAACTGAGAAATAAATATGAAACGCACATTGCACAATAGGCAGCCTACTACGCGTTTCACCCCCTGTGTGTACAGTCCCACAATGTCATGCGTCACTGGTGATATCAAGTTCGCGTGTCGAGTAAAAATGCGTAGTGAAACTACGGGGGGAAAGCTAGTAGTTCCATGGAACAGAAAGCTATGTAAAACTACCGTGGCCGATAAGTGCGGCACCTTGCTTTACTGTAAATGTGAACTTCAAACGTGAGCAGAAGTCCCGCCGAGATTCGTGCTGTATTCATTCAAAAAAAGTTATTTAACGATTCAGCGATTGGGGCCGATCGGAGCCCGGTAGTCGGGAGGGCGCGAGCGGCGGAGCGCGAGTCTGGGTGCAGCGTCGGAGCGATGTCATAACTACAGCCGTGATTTGTGGGGTTCACGCAGGCGAGCGTGTCCAGGGGAGGCGGCGACTTCTGAGTTTGAGGTAACACAATTACAAAGGCAAGGTGGGCATCTTCTCGGGGCCTATTGGGTAAGGTACATAGAGTTTGTTTAGTGGACTAATAGGAGGGCGAGAACCGAGCCCGGAGAGTCGGGCCGGGTGGTATTTAGGTCGCGACCTCGACAGCTTTGTGACAATATGAAAAGAATCAGCAGGCAGCGTCGAGTCGCTGCGGCAAATCGCCGCAAACGGAGTTCTCCTACGTTTCGTTAGCTGTATATTTATCAATGAGGCGTCACAGCACGACTCGCAGCGGCAGTGCGGATGCGCTTCGCGTGGGGTCGGTGAGTTGTGCTGATAACGATAGGTTTTTATGAAGGAAGTGGAGGGTATACGGTGACTCAACAATGGACGTGTAGACAGAGGGGGCTACAGGGTGTAGGCGCTATCTATGTGAAATGTTTGTATTCAGAGTTATTTATCAAAGGTTTTTAACTGACTCGTTTCCCAATTGCCTGTGATTTTAAACAGTAGCAGTAGTTAGGGGGATAGCAGGCTGCAGTCATGAATACAAAGTGGCGGGCAGTTAACAATTTTTATATCATCGACGGATCGGTCAGAGTGCAACTAGTAGATCGCGGGATGAGCGTGGGGTCCGTCCGCGGGGGGGGAGGGGGGGGGGGAGGAAGGGGAGGGAGAGCGGTCGTTGTCTCCTGCGCCTTGGGCGCGGTGTTGTTGGCCGCTCCCGGATCATGTGCTTCAACATGTGGATGCTACAAGAGTCGTTAAGATTGAAAACGAGCCGCTCGCGGGAGTATGCGATCTGGAAAGGTCTACGGATGATTTCACGGGAGGACCCCGGTGTGGCTGGGGCCGCACGTGTGGTGGAGTAAGTCCAGAAGAAACGCGCAGTGTGAGTTGGGAAAGCTGGCAGTGGGCCAATTGCTCGCACATAGGTCAGAGGTACATACGTTGCTGTCAAAGTCAGGTAAAGATGATGTTAAAAGAACGGGAACGATTCCTCCTTAAGCTTAAAGAGTAATAGGAAGGAAACGCAGAATTCGGACAATCTAAACGCGCGTCGACCTAGCGCTCGTTGATAAGTCATCTGGGTATGTCACCGGCATTGCAATGGTAAGGAAAGGTCGGGAGATCACTGTGCCGATATTGGGAGTGGTCAAACGGGCTCAAGTCGGGCGCAGCAGGGGAGCAGAATTTTAGGACCATTTTCTAGGAGGGGACCAGATGGCCATCCCTGATGAGCAGGCGATTCGGGAAACTAATTTTGTCTTTCAGTACAGTGAGGCCTACCAACTTTTTATAGACTTGATGGGAAAAAGGACCAACTGAAACTGGCTTTCCAGACCTGACTGCGCCGCGAAGGGAGGATAAGTGGTCTCGTACCTAGATTGCACCTCAGAAGGGGGCGGAGTTAAACAATGGATTTGTTGACTTATTAAAAAGACTGAAACTGCTTTTGCTATATGAACCTCCGTTCACCTCCTGCCTCCTCACAACCCTCCCGCACAGCTCCCTGTGCACAACACCACCCTCGCGCCAACCAAACCCCCACCACATCGCAACCGCTCTCGCGTATTCCTTGATAAAACGGCTTAAGGTTAGCGCAAGTCATTAAAGCTACACAGCTATATTTTATTTTACAAATGATCACCTACGGTATGCAAAGCCCTGATCAAGCCGGCGTTTGTTTTATTCTCGCGGCGGGACCGCGCCTTTGATGTCGACGCTTACATGTAGACTAGCGGGTCACTCGAGAAGGATAAGGCGCATGCATACATGTACCGTCCAGGCAGGACTTAGCATAGCAGACATCCATGGTTAGATGGCACCATTCGGCAATTATGTTACTATGAATGCTATGACCTAGGCATTGGGTAACAATATAATCATTATGCCAGCTACAGTACACGTCAGTTGAGCGCTGTCGCTCTGCGGCACTTGTTACCTGAGTGGTAACAATATAATCAATATGCCAGAGTCGATTATCAACAGTTGTGGGAAATTAGATCTGCTCTGCAAACCTAATCAAATGGAAATCAGCTGTGCACATAGAAAGTGATGGTTCCCTTGACACCTGCTCTTTGCATATCATTCATTATAAAGATGAAGCACTTATTGGGAAAACTTATATCCACTATTGGTCATTTGTCTTCATGCTAATTGTGTTCTGTGACTTACAGGCTCTATGTGAAAGCTATTTTCACGGGCTACAAGCGATCGCTGAGAAACCAGAGGGAAAACACTGCCCTGCTGAAGGTTGACGGCTGTATCACAAAAAAGGAGGCAGACTGGTATCTGGGAAAGAAGTGTGCATATGTTTACAAAGCCAAGAAGTATGTATTTTTCATTTCGATTTTTGTTGCATGAAATCAGAAATATGTAAAGTTACGAGCATGAGAAATCCTAACAAAATTTTCCTCTTAACATAATGGTATCCTAGATCCTCTCATACCTTTAAAACCAATATAAAAATAATGCAACTACATAAAGAATTGCAATTATAGTGATATTATATTTTATATTGATTAGTAAAACCTATTTTTCATGGAAAACACGTCAGAAACGCTATTTATCTACTTATCATGTACCAAAACAAACATAAGTGGTTATTGTTCTCTTATTTTCGATATTTTGATGAGTCTTGAAGCTCGCGTTTTGTGTTCCTGTGCAGGATAAAAATGTGATAATGTCATTTTTCATAGGTTATTATGATTAACTATTATAATCTGCATAAATTCCTGTCAGGTCCAATTAACAGTGATAAATGTCTATGGATCTGTTTTTTTATCGATTCTGATCCAATCCGGGGCAAATTATCAAGTTCATGTTATCATAATTTTTCTTGTAGCTACGATGCGTTTCTATCAACGCTATTCTCATAACATTAACATTAGTCGTAAGTGCTGTCATAGCATTAACATTGGCCTTAACTTTACGATGTGTCTGACAACGGGCCCCATACTTGTGAATGTTGTTTGTTAACAACCTAGCTAAAAATTGGGGTCCAATTTTACCTGGAAACAAATCTAAGAAAAACAATGATTATGTGACAATACTTGCATGTTCCGTATGCTCTCCTAGCTAAGTGATGAATCAAACTTATGCAAAAATGTGCTGTGAGGTAATCTCTGTTCCACTGCGGTTGCTATTCAAATTGTTAATAACTGTTTATAAAAGCTGATGATTTTAATTGAGTCTATTAGTGAATAGCAGGAAAAATGAACAACCTAATAATGGCAGCAAGGTTAATAATAATTACTTAAATGCGACAAAAGTTCCCAATAATTCCAGCATTCATCAACAGTGCAGATTGGATAGATATTTTTTTTTTGCAGTAAGACTGCTTGTCCTAACCATGACAAGGCCAGTAAGATCAGGGTCATCTGGGGCAAAGTGACCAGATCACATGGCAACAGCGGAGTGGTTAAGGCAAAATTCAAGCGCAATCTTCCATCCAAGGCCATTGGCAGACGGATACGCGTTGTAAGTACAGTTTTGCTTGTACATGGCCTGATGCTGTAGTTTTAATTTACCAACATGAGCTTTTTGTACATGTTCAGTTGTGAAAGTACATGTTCAAGCTAATATGTGATGCTAGATTGGTACAGTGCTGTCCTTGGTAATATGACATGTACAAGTTTGTAATTCACACAAGTAATTGCACTGTACATATGATTCATGTATGCTAATGTGTAATATGCTCTTATGTGGTACATAAAACAATTTTATTCTTACAATACTTGCTGGTATTGTTTGGGTAACAGCGAGTGTCTACAGTAAGGCTCACATGTCTTAGAACACTCGTACATCGTTACTTTTACCATAATATGCAATTATTGAAATTTACTTGTTAGCTTCTTGTTGACATGGTTGCGTGATGATGACACCTGTCAAATTCTCCCAAAACAAGTGCACATAGTTACCTGACACAAATATTTATAGACTGGTACCTAAATCGAAATGTATACAGATGTAATTGACCTAGTGTAGAGACAGGGTTTCGGTCAGTGGCATCTGGCAAGACTGAAGAGCACAAATCACGCGCTAGTTTTGTTGGCATTTATAAACAAATTTAACTTGAATGCAGCTCAGTGCACATTGGTGAAAAGAATGATGTGCGAGTGTTCTTTGACGTGTTACTGTGTTAGCCTTAATATATACATTTGATGTTATGCAAGGAGTACTGGTATCAGAATGGTTGAGAAAATTGTTTGTATAACGTGAAATCCTTGCTTTAAGATCGTTTATCTGCACAAATTTTGATAAAGGTGTTTTAATTTTTTTCAGATGATGTATCCATCCAGGATTTGAAGCGAGGTTGTAATGTTAAAAAAATAAAAACAAATCACTCATATTTATAGTCTTTGCATTTTCTGTGCCTTGTTAGTACTTATTTTCTGGTTCAAATGTTGCCTCTTACAATAAAGCTTGCAAATTATGTCAATCAGAAATACTTAGCTGGCTTTTTTAAAAGTCATAATCTTCAGTCAAAATGAAAAATCGCAATCTCAATCACTTGCTCAAAACGTCCTCGTCATTAGCACTAGAGATTTCTCTCGAAAAAGATGCCTTATACAAAACACGTTTTTAGCTCGCCTTGACATCCTCAAGCTGAGCTATTGCCATGGGATGTCGTACGTCCGTCCGTCAACATTTGGTTACGGTCAACGATAACTCCGGAACCGTTTGACCCACATGTTTGAAATTGGGTATAGTTGTTACTGCTATGGGAGAGATTTAAACGTCCTATTTTGGAGCACGTCAGTCGACGTACTTTCGAGCCACGGCAATTTTTTGGCAAAAATGGGAATTGCATTAGTTAGTTCAGGTTCAACGGATTTTGCTCATTTTTGGTATGTGATTGAATAAGGGCTAGGGGTTTTGATATTTAAAAAAAATATATGCAAATTAGGTAGTTTTTGGCAATTATATAGAGACGCAGATAACAGTGGTGTCACACTCATCTGGTTCGTTTTACAAGATTTCATTGACAATATCTTTAATGCAAAATTGGTATTTCCTCTCCACCCTGCCGATAAACGTCTATATTAAAGTAAAGTTTTACAAAACATGTCGGAATGCAGCATAACCTATTTATTTCTTACGCCATCGCTAAGAAACATTAAAGCGGGTATAGCGCCATAAATTATTTATTGCGATATACAGATGCAACCGTGTGTCTAGACGTCCCTAGAAAACTCATACGGAAGAACACTTTCCATGCAACCAATTAACCGCTTGACAAAAGTTGTGTTATGGGCAGGGAAACACCATTGCCATGTGGTATATAGCAGCTACGTGGAATAAGCGTATTCTCTCAATCCTACACGTTACACATCGGGAGCTCCGCTTTTAGGCAGTGCCTAAATCTGAATATTATAAAAACGTTAAATGGCGATCATTTAGGTGTAACGCCATCACTCGCCCATATCTCAGACTTTCACATCTCAAACATTTATTTTCACATAAAAAATTCCACATAATTATCAATAGTATATAATGGGAGTTCTCCCATTATTCGTTTCTATAATCTCTCTTCGTTTCTATAATGTACGTCGATGGTTGCTCAATTAAAACCGACTTCTTCTCACTCACTCATTTGTGTCCTTTTTTGTGGTGAGCTACAGTGTCATTGACACTTTCATTTAATGAATGCTTAATAGAGACAACTATACACAAAGTCCTGTGGTATACATTAATTTATTCATATCCATTACAAGGTTCTGTTTTTTTTTACCCGGATGCCTCTAAGATAATACTATTTATTTATTTCAATTACACATACCTGCTGCTTTCAAAAAGAAAGGCCGATTCGCTTTTCATGGCGTATAAAGTAGTCCAGCAAGGTATATAATTAATGTGCAAGTGGGATGGATATGCAATACATAGGTTGGATAACAACAGTAAGTACTGTTTAACGGGAATGAAACTTCTACAGATGAACCAAAAACAGAGATTTCGCCATTGGTTAAATAAACACTATCACCAGCCATATTCACATACTTTCATATAATATTCATATAAGTATAAGAATAGTATATTTGCCATCTGACAATAAATCTCAACAATAAATGTGTTTGTGAACAATTTATATTAGTAACTAATCTTATATGAGAGTAAAACTGATAACGAAATTACTTCACCAGGAAAGCGTAATGTCTAATCATTCCATTAACACTTGTAGCTTATTATTTCCTACAAACGTCACTGAATAATATACAATAGTAAGAGAACATTCAATGCATGCTCTCTGAGCATAGATTTCAAATATCTAGAAAACTTACTGACTCAGTTTAATAAACAGTATGTACATTAAAGTCTATAAATCACACTATATACAATTTACGAACAAATCCAGCAATTGTTGATACATACAAAAACATTGACATTGATCATAGAATAACTACTACAATTCTGCTTACACAAGGTAATTTGCAATGACAATAAAGTTGTATTTTGAAATGGCAGAATACTTTGCCAGGGAAACAGCTCAGTTTGGCACATTGACAGACACCTTACACGTTCTAGTATCTCATCATGATCACCTTCCAAGAGCTAAATCTAATCGGTACCCTACATTTACATGACATTGCAAGCACACACTATACCAATTAATCAGGTTAAATGCTATTGATCTATTTAACCCTTTAAAATATTTTCACCGGTCTATTTCTTTCACAGCTAACAGTATAAGCCTATTGCTGATTATTTCATTTAAATTTGTCTAGACTATGAAAGTAATTCTTACAATTATATTATGTAGTACTGCCTGTACTGGTTAATTTGTTGAGCCGCAAATAATACGATAGGTAAGCCAGCTGGTACACACTAATTTATTTCTAATTGATGCCCAACTTTCAGGAGTAGATGGCACCACAGTCTGAAACTGCTTGATGCAGTAGCCGCCGTTCATCGGGAGATGGTGAGTCAGACACTGGTTCATTTCAATTTCCACGCCTGTTTGTGAATCTTGGGCATAACTGACTGTCGTCATACCAGAAAGTCTGGTAGTTGTCAGAATAAATGTACTGACTGCCATTTGGAGGCGAGTGCGTGAGTACATCGACGGCCCACAACATCAAGCTTCTCATCACAGTATGTACACTGCATACACATCTACATGGCAAACAGGCAGTCTCATGATCAGAGTGCTCACGTTAGTCACGTTCAGACAAAGTTCACTTCCATTGTGCACAACACACATCACAGCCTTCACCCTCATACCGTCTGATTCCATTATACACGGTTGCTCCTATTCACCACTACACACTACTACAAACATCTGGCATTCATTCATTCGCGCAAGGAAACACTAAATAGCGAAATGGGCACGCTGAGTCGCCATATCCGGTGTATCTGATGCCAGCAAGTCCTCAGCACGGGGCGTCGCACACTCGCCTGCGTCACTGGCTGCCACCGCTAGGGGGCGCTGGCACACCGATCACGCGTGTTCAGCAGGATCACTGCTGGAGTCGCAGCTGCTATTGCGCTGCTCTGTGTTGTTGATCGGAGGCGGGTAGACATTGACCGTCACCAGCTGCTCGCTGCTATGGCCTGCCATGTTGCCATAGTCACTCGAAGCCTCGCTCGTCTGAAACAATGTCATGGTTCAAGTAGCATGACGACGTACCTTCTAGACTACGTTTTCTGTGCGTGCATGTTTGGATAAACTCAACATTAGTCTGGCAGGCATTTACTTGCCCACCTCGGAACAAACAAAAATTGCACACATACACACACACGCATGCACATATCTATGCATGAATTGAGCCACACAAAGTAAATTCACGTGGAAATTTAGTGGCACAAATTTTCACACCCTCTTAAAGGAATAATAGGTCTATTGATTATGCAATGTTGACGACTGCTAGAGTAACTGGCACCTTGTGTAGTTAATAAGTACATTACCTTATAGCCAAACGCGTATTAGTTTTTCCAATATCACTGCTGCATGGTTACTAAGAAATGTCTAATTGAAATCCGCAGTCCAAAAATCCGTTGGCTACAGTTTCAAACCACTGCCGGCGAAGCGGGTGTGATACAGATTTATAGTGCACCGGACATTTTCGCACGCATGCTCGGCCGTACCTAATGCTAGCGATAGTACAGTACCGTATATGTATACGTAACAGTAGAGCTCTCCGATTGTAATGAACACGTAGGAATCAGGGACGCTCGTGATAATGAAGTAGGCTGTGTTGGGGGCCAACACTATGGGGGGATCACGGACTAATCACAGCCACAGACTAAACATGGAAAGCAGACGGCACTACGCGTATTTACATATATTGGTCAAACGAATACACCTGTGTCCGAAATTGAAGACATGTGGGTACCCGTTCATTAGCACCCACAGTTATTTACTTGTGCCTCAATACCCAGAATACACCCATAGATACATTCTACAAGCTCATTAGTCGTTATAAGCATCCCGGGACAAACAATTCTCTGCTCAACACCTGTAGCAACATGTGACATCACCCAACCGTTTGGAGGCTATTTTGCTTGGCAAACAATTTAGCGTTGGCGCCAGATTACCAGATTTACGGATTTCAATTAGACATTTCTTAGTAATTAGCAGTGATATTTGACAAACTAATACACGTTTGGCTATAAGGTAATGTACTTATTAACTACACAAGGTGCCAGTTACTCTAGCATTCGCTAACATTGCATAATCAATGGACCTATTATGCCTTTAAAATTAAATGATTATATTTAGTTTCAACAGAAAATTTGTTCCATTTTTAAAAATTTCGTGCTTTAATCGTTGTCATCGCTTAACATCTACTGAGAGCTGAGAGATATCCATCAGCTGCAGTGATACCAATTCTTCCTATTATTTTTCCAATTACTCACACTTAATTTGACAATCAACACCCTTTAAAATGCCGTAAGGAAAGGCTACTGGAAAAACATGGATGTGCACCCCTCCACCCTGATAGAAGCACATGATTAGACCAGCACTGCACTCGTCACGCTGTAGGCTGGTACTCTACGCACCACACTCAGGGCATCTGTGCCGTGCGTCACCATGCCGGTGGAGTACAAGTAGGGCTCGGTCATCACGGACGTCGTCGGAGCAAACTCCAGCGGTCCCGCCGTGTCCGTGCTGCGGCTCGAGTCGGCCGATTCTGTCGATCCCGTGGAGCGGGTCGGTGACTGACTCGCGAAGGGATTCTCTGTAGAAGACACGTGCTGCATTACACTCACATCCACGTTGAAAATCATCACGCGGAAAACAAATTCTCACAAGCTTAGTTTCCACATAGTAGCACTACTGTTATATATGATTTCTCATTCTCCACAATGCCAACTGAGCTGTCACATCCACATAAATATGTGAAAAGAATACGAACCATATTTTTTAATTTTTGTTTGAATGGTTCATTATCTAAAAAGTGCAGGTGTGTGCCTAAATAAGAAACCCAACCCTGATATCCTACGTCCAGCTTATTGTAAACATGTAATCTGGAAGGAGTCGGCTTTTCCCTCTCTAGCGTGTGAACTTTTGAAATGCCTAACACATTTGATGGCACTGCTCTCATGCACCCCATAACCAGCAGACATTCCAACCCCTTGCAGAAGCTGCATTACCATCAGTGTAGAATGTTGAGCTGCCAACAGTGTGCGTAGCCGACAGTAGTGGCGTGTTCTCAGCCTCTCCATCCTCAGCATCGCTATCCGAGCTGTCAGTGTCGTTTCCCGGTATCACCTGACGCTTGCAGATCGGGCAAGTCTTCTTGTTGTTCGTCAGCCATGGATCAATACACTTTGTGTGGTAAGCTGCAGATGTACAGAGTAGACAAACTTCAGTAGAGAATGCATGGCCGTAGCTATGTGCATCATCAATGCCCAGTTTATAGCCAATATATGCCATGCTTGGGATAAACGACTAAAACCATATCATCATCTACAGGATGCTTATCAGTGAGTAAATAGATTCCAGCACCCACCACCAAGTGAAGAGACACAAACTCCACAGCATCTTTGTGTAAGCACACACACACAGTACACTTATCACGTGGGAGCATGCACACACCCTACACTTACCGTGTGAGCATGCACACACCCTACACTTACCGTGTGAGCATGCACACACCCTACACTTACTGTGTGAGCATGCACACACAGTACACTTATCATGTGGGAGCATGCACACACCCTACACTTACCGTGTGAGCATGCACACACACTACACTTACCGTGTGAGCATGCACACACACCCTACACTTACCGTGTAAGCAGACACAAACCCTATACTTACCATGTAAGTACCCACGCCCTACATTTACTGTGTAAGCACATACACACCCTATACACAGACACACATCCTACACTTACCGTATAAACACACACACACCCTACACTTACTGTGTAGACACACACACCCTACACTTACCGTGTAAACACACACACACACACACACACACACACACACCCTACACTTACTGTGTAAACACACACACACCCTACACTTACCATGTAAACACACACACACCCTACACTTACTGTGTAAACACACACACACCCTACACTTACTGTGTAAACACACACACCCTACACTTACTGTGTAGACACACACACCCTACACTTACCGTGTAAACACACACACACCCTACACTTACTGTGTAAACACACACACACACACACACACACCCTACACTTACCGTGTAAACACACACACACACCCTACACTTACTGTGTAAACACACACACACCCTACACTTACCATGTAAACACACACACACCCTACACTTACTGTGTAAACACACACACACCCTACACTTACTGTGTAAACACACACACACACCCTACACTTACTGTGTAGACAAACACACACCCTACACTTACTGTGTAGACACACACACCCTACACTTACCGTGTGAGCACACACACACACCCTACACTTACTGTGTAAACACACACACACCCTACACTTACCATGTAAACACACACACACCCTACACTTACTCTGTAAACACACACACACACACACCCTACACTTACTGTGTAGACACACACACACACACACCCTACACTTA